CTGCTGCTGCTGCAAAATGGTCATAGTGTTGAATTGTTCAAGAATTTCTGTTTGGACCCAAGACTGGTCTCTGCAGACGATTGTATGAGTTTGATTCACAAGAAATTAATAAGAAGCAAAATTATAGATGAAAGCTTGCTATAAAATCAACTGGTCACCATTTCTAGCTGAATTCAAAATGAAATCTGGGTTTGATTTGGTCCTTTCTTTAATTTCTATTGACTGCCTAACTGCCTTTTGAAGCCCACGAAAGAAGATCTGAGACAAGTACTACATATACGGTTCTGAATATCAAATTGAACTTGAATTTTCAATGGTAGTTTATTTGCCCCAATTTTTTTAAGAGATCTTCTTTACTATAAAAGTTATTAAAATTTAATTAAGCGTGATTTTTGGTAAAAGTTTTTTTAATTAATTTTTTTGCAACTTCTAAAGGGCTAAAAGCTATTGACAAGAGATTTTCCAAACTTGGACCGGAGATTATGTGAGGAAATAATATGATAGAGGTCTCGGTTCAAGTATTGTTAATTGTAAATTTGGTTTCTCTTTACAAACTAATTTTTTTTTTTCCGAACTTTTAACTATTGATGGCAAATCAAGGTTTTAATTAATTATGCATTAGTTTGAAAAAGATCCTTATGCTTCATGAAAAACGCTTCCTTCATAAAACCTTCCAACACTTCACAAAACTAAGACATATCTATTCGATATTCATGGAATATGCAGCTTAGGCACCTAATTTTCTGTATTTGATCTCTTTTGCTAGATATAAGTCAAAATCCAAACACAAACTCAGCTGAAAATAAAAATTAAATTTATATGAATCAAACTAGCTAGTCTTAGTTCTTTAGTGCAGCTTATCCATTCAATATTATTCACTACGTATACCCTTTTGAATATAAAATTAAACTTGATTTCTTAGTGTTAGTTTATTTGTTTCAACTTTTAAAAAGATCTTCTTTATTGTAAAAGTTATTAAACTTTGGCCAAATGGAATTTTCAGTAAAGGGTTTTAAGTTCTCCTTATAAAACTTATTTTGAACTTCTAAAGGACTAATTAAAAGCTATTGTCAAGAGATTTTTCAAACTTGGACTGGAGATTATGTGTGGAAAATTGATTCTATGTAAACATGATGTGAATCAATATGGTAGAGGTCTCAATATGGTAGAGTTCTCGGTTTGAGTCTTATTAATTGTAAAGTTGAATTTTTTTGTAGAATAATATTTTCTTTCGAAACTTTTGACTAGTAACTACAAATTAAAGTTTTAATTAATTATGATTTAGTTTGAAAAAAAGACCCTTATGCTTCATAAAAAATAGTTCCTTTATAAAACCTTCCAACACTTTACAAAACTAAGACATATCCATTCAATATTCACGGAACATACAGCTTAGGCACCTAATTTTCTTTCTCTTTTGCTAGATAAAAGTTAAAATCCAAACACAAACTCAACTGAAAAGGAAAATTAAATATATAAGAATCAATCTAGTTAGTGTTCTTTTTGGATCTCTTAGCTCCATGTGACCTAAGATTGAACTTAGATTTCATTAATCTGCATATTTTCTTTTTCTTAGTTGGAACTTGCATTAACAATTCAATGGCACATGCATGATCCATGCATGTTGACAGGGAACGTTTTGTTTGATCTTCCCCCAATTAATTACCCAGAAACAAACAACAAACAAAAAAAAATGTTCCTCCCCTTTGTAAATTTCCCCTGAAATTGTTTAATGTGGGAAAATCAGTTCCAAAAAAAATAACGGGTGGGTTTTTAAAATCGCATTTGGTGATTTGAACTTACAAGGGAATTGCATGGATTGCGTTGGGAAAGAGAGAAAATGTTGCTTTTGGTGTGGCTGCTTCTTGGCCTAATTATTTTCAAATGGGCAATCAATATATCACCAAGAACTAATTGTCATCAGCATCTTCAACCCACTTTCTTTGGAGGAAGTCCTATTACACAATACACATATTTAAGATATTGGATAACCATATTCGAATATTTTTTAAATTTATCGTGTTTTTCTCAATCAAGCTCTTAAACTTATTATTAAATAAATTAAACTCATGTACTGTATGTGTACAATCGAAAGTGCCTCAATCTCCACTACAATAAAAGCTTGCCTAGAAGGCCAATTGATAATAAGCCTTTTGCAAAAGATGCATCCTTAACAACCTA